TCCTTCAGGACACAATTTCAGGAAGAAATGTAAAGTGAAATTCAATGATATTTTAATGTGTAGGAATGATGGATAATTCAGGTATTAGACCTACATCAGTTTATGCGACCCAGAGTGCTAGAATTCCTATTACTAAGCCTTAGCAACTTTAAGACAGGCATTAATGTTCTCCTCTTATTATATATATATATATATCGATTTATTTATTTATTTGTTTATATACTTTTTTCGAATTGTTGTCTTTATACTCCGATTACTTTGGCTTATAATTGCCAACATGCATACACACTTTACATACCTGCATGCACAGATGTGAACCAATATGGATAGATGTAGCAATAAAAGAGCCAAATCTGTCTAAACCTGCGGTTAGTTTAACTGTTTTACAAGAATATGTTGTAAGGATTAGGGTTTTCAGCTCGTTTTCAGCTCAAAATGTCATCATAATATGGGCCTGCTATGATGTTGTCTGTCGACAGGCATGACAGACGAGAGCTCCCCTCGTTTCCAGCTTAACCGAAGCAACGTGTCTGGAGGACGGGGTCAACCTGAACGTGATATTAAAGCCAACCATCTTCCGCTTTCATGGCCATTTTTTGAGATCGACCTGGCACTCTATTTTGGCTGGAAGCGAAAGAGTGGAAGAACTCGCAAAAGAGCCTCTGAAGGAGACGACCTGCTGCCTCAGGCCTTCATTCCAACCGTGTGGGGGGGGACGCCTAGAAGTGTCGACGATTTGCCTCCTCACCGGTCGACCCACCGTTGCCTTATTCTGTCCGACAGCCGATCTGTAGGCGGCTCGAGAGCCACGACCTCTGTCCGGCTCTTCGAGGCAGCGCTGGTTGGCCAGTTGGATGTTCCTGACCGCCGCCAGCTCCATCTCAAGCCAGGCGAGTGCATGACGCAACTGCGTCTCCCGATCAGCCTCTTTGTCTCCAACCAACACGTTGTCCGTCGCTGGGGTCGTCGACTTCGACGATGAAGAAGCATCCTCCGAAGAGGATATCTCGATCCGATGCGTCCAGTCCCCTTCGCCTCCATTTGCAGCCTCGTCGGTCAACCGCTCCAGCTGCGCCTCCATTCCGTCCTCTTCCAGCCCGACAGGTCGGATCGACGTACACGAGGCTGCGTTCCGAGGACCGTCTTCTGCAGGCTCGCAGACTCGAGCCCCTCCGCCGAATTTCGACTGACTCAACAGCCCGCTGAAGGTGCGATTCAAAAAGCCAAACCACAAGAACTGGTTCCGCTTGTCTGGACTTGTCACTCTCACTTCATCACCGCGTCCAGCGTCGTCGTCACCGGCGCTGTCGACAAGCCTTGCTTCGAGACCGCGACCAACAAAGCGGCCCGCCAGACCCGACCAACTGCCGCCCATTTGGCTCTGCCGCATCCGCATGAGGTCAGCGCCGTCGCCGATGATGCTGTTGCTGTTGCCGTTGTCCATGGCATCGCCGTTGCTGTTGCCGAACCTCGGCGCCCATTGGTACAGCCGTGGCTGCCGGGTTGTGCGGGTCAGACGGCCGCGGATAAAGGGACTGGCAGCACCACCACCGTCACCAACGGAACCTTGGGCTCGGGTCTCTGGCTGTGTTGGTGGAGCAGTGCGAAAAATGTTCAAAAATAGCGCAAAAGGCAGAAAATTAAAAAAAAGAGAAGAAATGTACCAGTTGCTGCGGAGCAACAAAGTGGATGGACAAGAAATGGATTGAAGATTGGACGTCAAAAGAGCGTAAAAAGGGTCCAAGATAGAAAATAGGCAAAAATAGCTGAAACCACGGCTTCCATGCACGAAGCAAAACCAGTTGGCAGTTTCTCAAGGGCAACCTCGATTTATACAACATTATGGCTCATTTTTAAATAAACAAATAAACAAAATAATAATAAACTGCTTCGCTTGACCCAAAACATTTGTCGGTTGGTGATTGCTGCCAGGCCTATTTGTAAGATAAGACGGTGTGATTGTGGTCACTATGCAGAAATGCATTAGATCTCAAAGTAGGTTTGATACTTGATGCGAAGTTTAGGCAAACTAAGAGATTACGTTTAGGGAAATCCCTATGAAAATAATTCCTTCTAAATTCAAATAAAAGTAGTTTTCGAGACTATCACTACCTCTTGAATGAGATTACAACCAGCTTTTGTTACTTGACTTGATTTACAATTGTGTTTTTTTCACAATATGATGAATAGACCTCATAATGCCATTGTACTTCGCTTAGCTTGGTCTCCCACCTTAGTTTCGACCCCGTCCGAGTTTAATCAGCACCTATTCATGAGTTACCGATAGTCTCGAAAACTACCTAAAGCAAAATTAGGTAGCGTCGTTTATTTCAATTAAAAACGCATTTTTGCTTAGTTGACAATCCGCATTTGAAAATGTGATTTGAGAAAGGCTTGGTTTGCCTTGAATGTCGCTTCTTCCCTGTGTTATCCGTTAGTTTCCATGACCGCCTGGATCTTATCAGCACCCCCAACAGGATTCGAACACAGGACATGCGTATCATGGCGATTTTGCTACTCCATCACACGACCAGGGCTGCTAGTGGGGCACAGGGCAGATATGCCATTCAAGTCGAACCAAACTTCTCCCAATCAACATTATTTTTTAGCGGAATTGTGGATTAAGAAAGAATGTTTTTGCCATTGCTACTTAATTCGGATGTCAGTAATTCTTGAATAAGTAATTGAATTATTCTGCAAAGGTCATCTCATTGTGGAAAAACCTAAATATTAGTCTTTAAAACGTTACCCTTGTCGCTTTACTTTAATTACGCACAGCCAGTGATGGTCGCCTAAGAGACGACAACAATTATGCTGCCAAATAATTTGCACTACAACTTGTAGAAAATAGACACAAATGTAGCCAAATTAGATTAAGAAAGTGCTCAATTTTGCATTTCGGGCCACCATGCAATGCATTCCAACAAAGTACTTTAATTCACTTTGGCCTCAACTTATGATTAGCCACCCCAAACGAGGTTCAAACAGTTCATATGCGGTTTCACAAAGAAATGCATTGATTTTTCTGAAAAGTTTTGCATACCACATGAGACTATTTAGAATCTAGCCGCAGACCTTGAATAAAAACTCGGGTCGGCATTAGCACCTCGAGCTAGTGGCAAGAGTGTTAGTTGAACCTGACCCAATTAAATAAATAGAACTTGAATTTTCTACAATAATTGATGAAACTACTAACCACCAAATAAGTAGGTTATATGCTAAATAAAGGCTCGAGTCAGCATGGATTTCTAAAGTTAGTGAAAAGAAACTTAGTATTAAGGTTCATAACCCCATCGAAATTCTATTTGTCATTACAATCAATGACATTACTGAATATCAAATAAGCAAAATAAATTATATTCCGAATCAAATAAGGTCGCTTAAGAAATGATAGCCGAATTTGTGATAATTAACTGAATAGAGGGCTCCATAATGCCATTGAATTGTACTCAGCCCATGGTTTTAAATCTCCGACGAGTCCCATCAGCACCCTCAATAGAAGCATTCTATATCCCAAACGGCCAAAGAAAACTGGAGTTTTATCGAGAGTTTAGCTTGCCAACCATTCCTGTGATCGTAGCCTCTTATGAGGGGAAGAGTAAAGTGTTCATATTCATCGCTCAACTTTGGCCGAGAGCGAAACTGCCGTTCAGTCTGGCTTAAACGGGCACTTGTGGATGCCCAAATCAGTTAACTTTAATATAAAACCTAGCCTGTTCTCGGACCATTGCAGTGCAGAGGGTAACCTCGACGCCTTGACCACTAGGCCACATTGCCACGAGTGCGGTCAGATCACAGGGCATGACTTTTCTTGAAATACACATCTGCTCTGTGACTCGACGGCACTCGTGGAAATGTGATGTAGTGGCTAACGTGTCGAGATTACATGCTGCACTGTCATGGTTCGAGTCCCGCCGGGGGTGCTGATAAGACCTATGCGAGGTCGAAACTGACGTCAACTTCCGCCTGAAGGAGAATAACTCTTGGGAAGGCAAGGCTATGTGGAATTCAAAGATGGCGCCTGCTCCACTCACATCGTTGTGGAAAAATTCACTTATCTCAACATCATTCATTACCTCACACGAAATAGGATGAACACAGCTCATATTTCTGATTTACTGGTAGTCTCGAAAACTTACTCGAAACGAAAAATATTTACATTGCTTTATAAATAAATAAATAAATAAGTAAATAAATAAATAAATAAATAA